ATATCTAAAAAACGGTTAAAATTGTTATATTTTAATCATATCTTTCAAACCAGCAAAATCTGACAATGATGGTATCACAAACATCGCTGCAACCCTTTAACAGAAAAGCTTGTCCAGCTTATTCAACTGTGTTTACTGTAAATAAACAGCCAATTAGACCTTTTAACTAAAAGGCGGGACTTCCATGCATATAGCTGCCATATTTGTGACGTGACATGTGGCCAAGTATGGTAACCCATACTCGGAATTAGTGCTCTGCATTTACCCATCCAAAGTGCACACACACAGCAGTGAACACACACACACCGTGAACACACATCCGGAGCAGTGGGCAGCCATTTATGCTGCGGCGCCCGGGGAGCAGTTGGGGGTTCGGTGCCTTGCTCAAGGGCACCTCAGTCGTGGTATTGAAGGTGGGAGAGAGTGCTGTACAGGGGCGTAGATTACGCGGGGGACGTGTCCCCCCCACATTTAATATCACGTAAATTTGTTCCCCGCACTCTTTCGGCAAGTGTGTTCGCGTAGAGGTTTTCAAGAGCCGGTGTGTGCTGCCGGTACGAGACTTGAACCCACAACCTTTGGGTTATGCGTCCGACTCTCTAACCATTAGGCCACGACATATTAAGCATTATGATTTTTCTCAGCTTTTTCCAAGGATACTCCCTGGTATTAGTTGGAGGCATATTTCTAATGAACATTTTATTGGACAAAAATGTGTATACGCTCCTAACGTGCAAAAATAATCAAGAAGAGTCACCAATTTTTGACTGTTTTCTCAGAGGAAATGGAGCAGCTACAAGTTTGGTCGGTTTTATAAATGCACTGACTAGCTCATACAGAAAGTTGGCCTAAAAGCTAACAGACATGTTCGAATGCCACAAAACTACAATTTCATGGGTCTTTAACTAAAGATGGCCAAAGTCGTTGTGTATTTTAAGTGTTTCAGGTCAGGTAAAAAGAAACCTTTGCTTGCCAAAGACTCTCAGGAAACACACCAGAAGCTTGACAGAGTTAATCTCAAAATGGACATTGAACAGTGTTCAGCTTTAAACACCCACGTCCTTACCTTGGTAACGTTAGCGAGTTTGTTGACTAGGAAGTCGTCAAAACAGAGCAGGTGTCTGTTCATTACGATCACACGTCATCTTCATGATGGCGCGGAAATCTCCGTTACCGTTACATCGCCCTCTTTTGGTCAAGACCATCCACAGCACCAAGCCGATTGGCTTGGCAATTTGTGTCAGAATTTACGCGGGATTTTTGTGAAATGCTACAAAACAAGAACACACACCGTTTAAACGTGTTCATAATATTATAATAGCGCTTTATTATTCATAATCTCACAGTTCATTCATCGTTATATGTATCTTCAGCAATAAATTAAACTACTATGGCTTCATGTAACATTTGTAATAATATTTGACAAAAATGCTAGTTCATTCAACCACACATACAGTATTCATATTTTCATATTTTACCATGACATTCATTTAAAAAAGTAAAAATGGTTATATTACAAAGCCACAAAAAAAAATTTAAATAAAAAACACCGAAAATATGTATTTTGATGCCATATGAGAATATGATTATGAGAGTGTAGCCTACAATGGTTATCAGAGTAATCCTCACAACTAGTGAGGATGCTGCAGAGGAAGACGATGTTGAAGATTTGTTTTCCAGTCATGAGTTGCAGTCCTTTCAGCATTGTTTGTCCTCCAGCCCCGCGACATCCCTTTTGAACCCCCCTCACCACAATGTGAAACAAAATAATGCCTATTGTTCTTTTACTCTTGAGTACTGTAACTGTTCTGTTTATATTCTGCTCGTACCATAGTGCTCTCTTATTAAGCCAGAGAGAACAGGAAGTCCAGTTCTTCGTAAGCAAAAGTTACGGATGAATAAAAAAATAACAATCACCTTTCACAGCTCTTTTTACTTGTTCATTATCTCTACTATATACATTTCAACCAGAAACCCCCCTCCCCATGTCAAAACATTAAGACATTATTACAATATGCAATGTAGACTGTTGCATAGTCAAAGTACACTCTCAGTGGGTGGGTGGGTGATGGTGTTTTTTGCAGTCACTCAGGGTAATCACTTCTCGGCTCTAAAACATTCATCAGGCACATGGTTTGCTTCGGCCCTTTAGACAAAAGACTTTCTCTGTAGATGTGAAGCATCTGTAGCTCTGGACATGGAGATCAGTGTGTGGAATCATCTGCTGTTTTTGACCAGCGATGACGGTACTGCGTCGACTCACTGTAGCGTCTCTTACTGTTGTTGTAATAGTTGTTGTTTTGATATTTGAGTGCATACATCTGGTAGGTAGATGCTGTAGAATAAAAGGAAAAGATGTATTAACTTAAAAGGATAGTTCACCCAAAATTAAAAATTGTCATCATATATTCACCCTCATTTTCAAAACCATATATGACTTTCTTTCTTGAACTTAACAGAAAACGTACTGCAATGTGTCTTGAGTGAGACATTCATTTCAACATGTTTGAACATATGTCACATATTTTAGTAAATAATGACTTAAATTTAAATTTCCCCTCACATGAATACTTTTGTATGGCCTTGGAAGACTTAAAATACACTTTTTGTTATTTTTGAATTCTGACAGACTCAGTCCCCATTATGGAAATGAGCATTTTGGGGAAAGGAAAAAAAAAAATGGTGATTTATTTCGAAACAATTTTCACTTTCTAGAGACTTTATCTTGTTAATAAATTTCACTTATTATTACAAAGAACCGGCAAATAAGACATTAAGAAATTTTGAAGTAAAAAAAACAACAACAACAAAAAAAAAACACTGAAATAGTATTTTCTTGTAATACGTCCCCTAATAATCTGTTTTATTTACAACTTTACAGTGTATGTCCTCTTTTGTATTCCACGGAAAAAGTAAAGTAATGCAGTCAAAAGATCAGTGTTGTTATAATTCACTAAAACTATTAAAATGTATAATTTAAAAAAAAATATATATATATATACATATATATATATATATATATATATATAAGCTGAAAAAAATAGATAGAAAGAATGAAAGAAAGAAAAAAATTAGAATTAAATGTTTAAACTAACTGAAATAAGTCACTAAAATTACTTACAGTAAAACTGATATACAAATAAAGCTATAGAAATATATATAAAAAAAGATAAAAATGGCAAAAGCAGAACAAAACTACTTAAACTGAAATTAAAATTATACTGAAAATATAAAAATAAAAACGAATTTAAAATGTTTTATATATAAATATATAAAATGTTATTATAAATAATGACTAAATTATTATAACCAGGCATTATAATTTCATGCCTGGATTTCACTAAACATCTATTTATTCAGAGTCAGCGACTTACGATTCAAGCATGTGATTTTGGGCTTGTGCATTAGCATCATCTAAGCTTATGGGTTTATGGTAGAGTAGCAATTGCACTTGCAATTTTTATACTGTGATTTTAAAATCTGTGTGCACAATTGCTTCACACTAATTTTAGGATCAAATGACATCATTTTTTTGCAGGCCGGAAAAAAACAACACCAAGAATGACTCATATCTCTGAATTCATGGTCACCTGGAACACAGACGTGCATCTAATAAACAGATTTTATTAGGATCAAAATAATGAATCCCATCTTACCATAGGGTGTCCATCAGTCCAGCGGAAATCACTGTCAAACATTTTATCATTCAGTCCAATCCACTGATAGTCATGCCCCAAACCTACAAGACAATTACACAGATTTCGGGATCTATCTCTGCACACTAATCCACACAAACTATCATATGACTTGGGACAAAGTGGACAAGTTGTGTGGTTGACTAATTTCTACTATTTGTATCTGCATACTGGTGGGAAAAATGGAAAGTTCCCTCTCCAAACTCAAACTGCTGTGTCAGACTGGTCGGGAAACTCAAACAAACAGAGAAATGTTTTGATAGCACCACAGTGTTTATACTCTTTGGGATAACCAATCAACTTATAGTTGTCTCTGCATATTAAACTGGAAAGAGAAAGTATTTTATAAAACAGAAAAAGACATCTTTAAGCTAGAGGATGTGTATTTTTTATAGAAAAGTCTATATGGAAGCCCAGAGAAATGGAAGAAATTCATTAATCTTTTTGTGTGAGGACCTTTGCAAACTTCTTTGACATCTTTAATAGACTACCTGGCTGAAGTGGAAATAGCAGGAAATCAGTTAAACTAAACCACACATCAAATGACACAAACAAATGTAGAACAAATTGTTTCTGTGCCCCGAGGAGCCAAGAAGACGTTTGTTTAGTTTAGAGTCAACAGCACTTTTAATATGACTTATGGTTTGTTTAGTCAATGCTAGAATTCAGTTAGTCCTGAGTATCTGGGGGTTTTTTTTGCCTCATTTGAAACATTTGATGAAAATGTGCCTGCGCAAATCTTACCATCACGCACTGCTGTGGGCATTTGCCAAAAGCATTGCTATATAATGTCTGAAATGTTCTTGTGGTTTTTAGAGCACTGTTATGAAGTGCTGCAAATGGCCAAAACCTGCAAGTTTGTATTTTAGCACTTCTGAACCATAGTCCTTACGTCAGCGAGGTATTTTGAATGGGTTTTTGTTTAAATGTCTGAAATAAGGTCTAAGCTCAAGATATTTACACGTTTTATTCGACAACATAAAATAGATCAGTAAAACCCCCTTGTTATTTTTAAAGCTTTTACTTGTCTTGAAAAAGGCGGTGGCTAACAAGTGTCTAAATGGGACTACAAAGGTTATAGTGGGCATTAAAAGTCATCACGCCGAACAGGAAAACTCATCTACTCACTATTCGCTTTAACAGCCTCGTTGTGTTTATAATTGCACTCTTGCAATCTATTCTAACTCAAACTTTCAAGTTGTGGTCATTTGTGAAGATTAGCATGATGAACAAAACGTGTAAGAATCATAAACTTTTGTTGGTCACAGAGCTTATTTTCGGCAATAATCCAAAAGCCAATGGAAAAATCTTGGGTTTTTGTCGAGGGAACCAAGGTGATGCGAACTTCCGGGTTGGCCTACAAATATACGTCATCTGTACAACACTAAAAGAGTTAAGTAGTAAAAGAGTTATTAACTATTAAGGGTGAGCAATTAAATTACTGATGTCTGCTTTGGCAATACCATTCATAAAATCATAAACTCACGATTAACAAAGAGCTGCTCTTCATGGGACAGGACGCTGGTGAGGTGACCGCCCTGCAGACGACACTCTCTTTCCGCTGCTTCCCATGTCCGCCGGTGTGTGAAGTACTTATAGCAGTGACTCTGAAACTTGTGCCAGCCAAAGTCACAAACCTCCGTATCTGAAAGTTTGAATGACAGAAAATGAAACATGAGAAACCTAAAAATGAGAAAAACAGGCAAAACATTGGATAAGCATCCACAATGTTAGCCACATCAGTGCACCCCCAGTTCAAAGGGCAGATGCTTATGTAATTCATGATACAGCTACAAGCAGCATCGCAGTGCCCATAGTTTATCAAAGAAGAGATGTCTCATGATTGACTCTGTATTTCTTCTGTGTTAACCATGAATAAGCCTGTCTTTCAGATCAAGTATAATCGGTTATGGTGCAGAATGGATGCATAGAACCGCATCTGTTTTGAGCTCGGCCATTAACTGGGTTAATCTAGTGCAAAGCACTTTTTATTCTATCCCATATAATGAAGATCATCAACATTTTGCTTGGACTGAAACCCGCCAATGACCGCAGTGCTCAGTGTGAAAGCTAAACGCAAACAATGACATCTAATGAGGCTGGAAAGAAAACACCAGTAAATGAGGCCAAGTAAATCATCTCAGACACACGGCCCATAGTGCTGTTTTCTTTAACTGATTTCACACCACTACGTGCTCACTTTGTCCTTTGCCCTGAACGTCCAGTAGATCATACCATAGAGCATGTACATTAGCAAGAACCACTGAAAATCTACTGTAATTGCTACAATAATATACAAATTTTCAATCTACTTGAGAAAGTAAATTGTCCCTCCACTTTCAGTTGTCTTAAGTTGCATATTTTTTTAAAGTAATGATAAATCACAACAAATAGTTTTAACCAAATTTACCAAATGTAATATGTCATGATGCATAGCACAATTAAGTAAAAAACAAAAAACAAAACTGTAGTCAAACTGTGGTCTGAGCAAATATGAACAAAATATCCATGGTGGTTTTAAATTACCTACTTATATTGCAAGACCTAGAAGTAATATAGACAATGGATCAAATCAGGAAAAATACTTTAACCACTAGTCAGTGTCTAGCATCTGGCCATTGCAAGCAACTTTGGCTCTTTGTCAGAAATAAACTGAGCGTTTTTTTGTACTTTTTCCATGCTAGGCATCTTGGTCACGACAAGGACTCTGGTTTTCCAAAGTTCTGTCTCATGCTATTTGCTCATTTGGCTAAAATATTGTATTTATCGCAATGTAACAAAGTTTAACGCAGCAGCTTCGGATTAAACGTTGAAGGTCCAAATTCAGTTTCACTGATTAAACACAACTGTATTAAATGTGAAACTATGGTCTTTTTTTACATGATGTGGAATGCAAGAGTTCAGCTTTTTACGATTTCCTCTGATCTTTGGCTAAAAAGCCTGAGAAAACAGATGTCCTCAGAGGTGATGTTTATGCATGGAGAAGATTAGCTCTGCTGACTAATGGCAGCAATATTTTGTATGAAGCTGGAACCAATTCATTGGGGGACCAACGCCCAACACGACTGTCAAGCCAGTGCAAGTGCACGTAAATGTCAAGTCCTGAGCTCTCTTCAAAGTAAAAACGTGGCTCTCATTCATAAGTCAGCTGATTATTTTCATAGTCGAAAGCTAAGGGGAAAGTCCTACGTGAGATGCAGGCAGGTGTTTGGGAGTTTCTATACTGTGGCTTGTCCAAAGTGACTCAGAGGGGTCTCCATGAGCCTCTTGGACAAATTATGATGCATTAATTGATTCCAGCTGCTTTCCCAGTATGGACCCATGTGCCAATCACAATTGCCTTCCCAGAATCCTAAGGGCCTCACCTTTAATGAGGGAACAGCAAAGAAGGGCCAAGAAACCGTTGTCAAAATCAATCCCAGCCCTGCTTCACGTCATCAGAGGAGAATGGCTTGACTTCATCATCCTCAAACACTGTCCACAGCCATGTGAAAAAGAGATTCAGTACTTTATTTTTTTACGAGTTGTTTGTCAAAATTAAAACCACAACAGACCATTCAAAAAGGGATGTTTTCATTTGAAGAGCTTCACTTAACATTTTGATGGGTAATGGAAACTAACGGTGAAACCAATCTCCTGCTGAATGCCAACAAGACAGTCTCTGTATGTAAATGTGATTTGAACTCTCACATTATACATTTTATTTCCATTTCAAGCATATCCAAGCCTAACCTCTACACAGAACAATGCCAAGCCAATGACCAGACTAAATGATCAGATTTACAGCAGATTTGGCACCTACTTTGTCCTCCCTTCAAGCCTCATGTAATGGTTTAAAGCCAATATATAGATCTGGTATCATATTACAATAAGGTTCTACAGTATATGCTATCATTAGTTAAATCAATAGCTAACACAAAAGAACAATGAAGAACACTTTTAAAGCAACTTTTAAACTTAATTTCTTCATACTGTATATTAATACATATTTAACATTTCCATTTGTATAAATTAACATTGGATTATTAAACGTGTTAAAAATATTGTTAGATCATGATATCCAACAAACCAACCAAATATTATGCCCATGGTCTTATTGTACACAATTCAGTTGCTATATCATTGCTAATGTCTTATGCTTAAGCACGTTTCTTTTTAGTCTCAGCCTCAGACGTCACGCCCACGGACCACTGGCTGAACGTCTGATGCATATGGTACACAAAATTGGAAACACTTCGGGAGTTTCAAAGTTGTCATCTGATTGGTTGAATTCTACAGGATTTCCAGGAGACGTGTGTGTCGCATTCTTTAATGTTCCACCAGGAAACAAAGATGCCATGACGCCAAACCCCCCCACGAAAAAAGAAATCTGTCGTGTTTACAACTGTGACAATGAGCGCCAATCAGGATCACCTAAACGTTAGATTTTCAAAAGTATGTGAAATATGTAAAGTTTGTGCCGGCATAGACTCTTTAAAATACAGTTTTACACATGGTCTGTTATTGTGGGGACATTTCCACGCCCCTAAAAATGATGCGGCACAAACCGAAACGTGATTGGTTGCTTTACCTGTCAGTCATATGACATCTTGGGTGGTACTTGGCCATTCAAAGCGGCCAAGGTTCCCAGACCTTCTGCAGTCACTCTGAAGGTCTGGCTACGCTTTGTGGTTGCTAGGGTATTTTAGGTGGTTGCTAGGGTATTCTAAGAGATTGCTTATTAGATCCACTCCCATGTCTCTTAAGATATTTTGGGACCAGTTGCATTAACAAGGCCACAATGTTAAGTCTCTCAAGAAGCACTAATCTGACCAACTAGCAGTTCACCAAGTGATAATCAGTCTTATTTTTCATATTTAAATTATACCAATCTGCCATTTCATGTAACTGATTTTTTTTTTTTTTTATAAAGGAAAAAAATATATGACCAGTCTTACAGAAAAAAAAATATTCTACTAAATTGTAAGACTAATCTAAGTAGTTTATACAGCCAGCTCCTGGTCTCTAAGTATGGCTTCACTGTAGATCTAAGCCAGTCTATTGCTATTGCCTTAGCAAGCACTCCTAATAATATCATAGCCTGACATGTCAATTTCAACCCAATTTCAACTCAAATCTCATTGGACACAAAAAGTACTAGCCTATATAATTTTCTGCTGAATATTCCACTGAAATATGCACATTACGGAAGTTCAGTGTGTTGCAAACGTCATTTCATGCTGGCTTTAATTAGTTTCTGAAGTCTTCTAAAAGTCACAACCTAAATATGGGACCTACTCAAGTCATGCCTGGATGAGTATGACGAGGCAACTGAAGGAAAATGCAGCCTCACTGATGTTCCTGGGACCATGCCAGTTAAGTCAGTTGGCTCAGCAATGGCTCATCGAATTGCTCAGCATTTGTGAGAAGTGTGGTGGGTGTAAGGGAAGAGGCATTACCGTCGCTGACTGTGTGACCTTTTCTCTGAACCTTATTGTTGGCACAAATCCACTTTCATTCCTCTGGACACCATACCGCACACCCTCTGGAGAATCAGGCCTGACAGATGTGGTGAAATTTGTGGTTTGGTTTGCCCATGCTAACAGTTTGGACTGACTGACCACCATACTGTATACCGTTTGCTTCAGTGGATTTATTAAACAGCCATTGCTCACTATTTAGAAACTAGCACCCTAAATCATAACATATTCCATCCAACAGCTCCTACCATTAACTTAGGAGTTATATTTTATTCCACTTACAATTGAAACCTAGCAATCAATCAGGCAGACAAATGTTTAAAATATGCAATCATTGCAACATTTGAAAAATAAACCATAAGTTACAATAGACATTATGTGTTAGCATGAAAGTGATATGATAGAATTGCTTAGCAACCTGCTAGCATGCCACAGTCCACATTTAATTGCAAAAAAACCCAAAAAGATTCCTTCAAGGATTTCATATATTACCCCAATTAAAAAAATTGTATAGTACCATGTCAGTGTTGATTTCATACCTTGCTCACAGAGGGCTCCTGAATAGCTGGGCAGACAGACACAACTGAAAGCATTTAACCCGTCAATGCATGTACCACCATTGCGACAAGGGTTTGACTGGCATTCGTCAATTTCTGCAGGAATTAGGACATGAAAATGTCTTACTTTACTCAGAAACTTTAATCGTGTTCATCAAAAGTGAAAATATTAAAGGCCTCAAACCATTTTCACAATGTTCCCCACTGAATCCAGGCATGCAGACACATATGTTTCCTTTTCCATTAGAATAGCAAGTTCCGCCATTTTCACACACACTGACAGAGCAAAGTGTGAGACCTGAAATGTCAAAGTAACATCTATTAGTGGATGGACAAATCCATTATGGATAAGTGGACTACAAAGCAGAGTAATTCAAAAATGTTGTAAACCTCAAGAGAGGAACAATTTTAATAACATTTACACCACTTTAAGCAATATACTGTATGAGTTACAAAAATATTTGGAACTGTACCTTGCAAAACCTCCATATGGCTCTCAACAGTGTAGCTGGAATCTGTCCAGACTTCTGGTTTTCTTGTGGTGAACTCTTCTCTGGATGATGGTTGTCTTTGAACAATTGAGGGACCCGCCACATCTTCAAAATCTACAACATTCTCTTCAAATATCACAGTACTTGTGGCTTTGGGGGTGGTGAAAACGTCTTCTGTAGCAGAAGTAGTTCCCCTATCCAAGACCTGAACTGACTCTTTCACATTTAAGTTGGTAACAACACTGGTGGTGGGATAACTGGAAACTTGGGTAAATGAGGTGAGAGGCTTCTCAGTTGGGAATCCAAATGTAGAAAGTGATATTTCTTGCGTTGTCTCCTCTGAAGTCTCTGATGACTGCACTGAAGTGGTTGTCTCTTCTGATGGTGATTTTTGGATTAGAGCAGTTTCTTGGAAGCCTGAAGTCTCTGATGACTGCACTGAAGTGGTTGTCTCTTCTGATGGTGATTTTTGGATTAGAGCAGTTTCTTGGAAGCCTGAAGTCTCTGATGACTGCACTGAAGTGGTTGTCTCTTCTGATGGTGATTTTTGGATTAGAGCAGTTTCTTGGGAGCCTGAAGCCTCTGATGACTGCACTGAGGTGGTTGTCTCTTCTGATGGTGATTTTTGGATTAGAAAGGTTTCTTGGGAGCCCGAAGTCTCTGATGACTGCACTGAGGTGGTTGTCTCGTCTGATGGTGATTTTTGGATTAGAACGGTTTCTTGGGAGCCTGAAGTCTCTGATGACTGCATTGATGTGGTTGTCTCTTCTGATGGTGATTTTTGGATTAGGACGGTTTCTTGGGAGCCTGAAGCCTCTGATGACTGCACTGAGGTGGTTGTCTCTTCTGATGGTGATTTTTGGATTAGAACAGTTTCTTGGGAGCCTGAAGTCTCTGATGACTGCACTGAGGTGGTTGTCTCTTCTGATGGTGATTTTTGGATTAGAACAGTTTCTTGGGAGGAAGACATTACTGCTCTAAGACTATCAGTGGGCAGAATGGTGGTCTCTGAACTTTGGGTTGTGAATTTTGTTTGAGTTTGGACACTAGTGAAAATCAGTGGTGTTGTGTCTTCTGCAGAACCTTCAAATACTTTAGTTGTTTCATCATGTGCATCAACACTCATTTCTTCAGTTTGTTTAATGAGAAGGGATGGAACAGTAGTTGCAGTGAAAGGTTGTTTAGAGAATGCTTCAGTTGGCTGATCACCAGAGCCGATGTCCTCAGAGATGGTGAAGATTGCACTTACATCTTTTTCAATCTCGGGCACCAATAAAGGACTCTTAGCTGTACTTCTGTTTTGGTCTTTCTCAGAGTGTGTAATGTAAGGAGTGCTTTCTTCTGGGATTGCCTCTGTTTGAAAAGTTGAAACCACCTGAATCGTAGGATCTGTACTGGGCAAAGCCAAATGAACAGGTTGCCTAGGCTCTTTGGGATGAGTAGTTGTTAAGGAACTTGTAAAGCTGTGAGATGAAACAGTGAAAGATGGAGATAAAGTTGGTTGTTTTGATTCTTCTGTTGCATATATATCTTGCCCCGAGCCCTCGTCTTCAGTGGAGGTTGAGCCCTCAAAATCTTCTGTTTCTGGTTTCGTTTCTCTGTTCTCGGTTCTCTTCATTTCGACAGTGCTGGATTCTGGAGTTGTAACAATTGGTCCTTTGGTACTGCAGTCCACCCCAAATGCCAGTGTAGTCTTCTCTGTTTCAGCTATTTCAGTCTCGTCGGTAGCCACCACATATAGGTCATTAGTTGTTGGAAGTGTGTCATCCGCAGAACCTTCCAAGGGGGTCAATTCCTCTTCATCATCTGTTGTGTGCATCCCTGAACCTTCTTCGTGCATGCTAAATGATATGGCTTGTGGGGTCATCTCCTGGCTTGAGGATTTGGTTGCAAATGTGGGCAACTCTGTCGGGGTTATACTTTCCAGGCTCTTTGTTGTGAAATGGGGCTCAATTGGGCTTCTGGTCGGTGAGTCAGATTCATCTGTCTCAGGGGAAGATGTGGTGCCTTCAGCCTCCTCTGTAAGTATTTCTATCATATCATCAGGGATGGTTTCTTCTGTTGGTGGGATAGCAGTGTCAAACTGGTCTCCTCTAGCCTCCTGAGTTTGGTCAGTGTCCGGTTTCAGAGTCAGCTCGTGCTTTCCGTTAATGAAACTCACTTTTGGGGTGATGGTAACAGAAGCTGATGGATATGTTTCACCTGTAATGTCTCCACTGCCCAAAGGTGGCTCACTTTCAACAGATGTTAGAAGTGGACTAGAGAGCCCTGGTACTCCAAGGAATTTCAGAATAGCATCAACTCCCACAGTATCAACAGCATCACCTGCAAACAAATAGTTAAAATACATTGCACACACACTTAAGTCACTGGTTTTCAATTCCAGTCCTGGGGGACTTTTGTCAAATAACTTTATAGACATCTTAGAAACTAGCACTGCATATATATTTTACTTAATGGCTAGAGTCTCACTTGAGGCAAATAAAATGCTCACATCAGTTATGATTTTGGCGGGTCAAGAAAGATATTACTGATTATTGTTTCTACATAAGTAATGGCTCTACTTATATACAGCGAAAAGCTTATTATAAATTATATTCAGTGATATGTCCCCTGTGAGACCCTAAAGTCACTATATTGCAAAATTACAAGACCCTTTTCATTTTTAAATAGTTAAAAATTAAACAAAGTCATTCCAGCTACTGTTACATTACGCAGTTAAAATGTGTGAAATATAGCCAGAAATTTTACTACATCCTCAAGGCCTCAATAACATGCATAACAAAATATACTTTTCCTTCGGTGGACCCACTAGCAGCCACACATGGTAACCTGATCTGTAGACTGGACGAGGTAAGGAAAAGTAATTAGCTTGCAGTGATTACTTCGCTGATTGTTTTAAGGGGCTTTGCCATTTGACCCAGGAGGCATTTGTCTGTGGCTTTGAGAGCTACTCTTTCTCACACTCAACACCTCTGTCTCTCCCTGATGTTTTACTATAGTATGTGCCCCTTTAACAGTACCAAATGGTATAAATGGGTCAACTGATTAATGTCGACCCACAGGACCTGCAGCCAGGAACACTGGCTGCAGTCTATTTACAGATGTTTATCAACCTCATCACTCTTTCCAACAACACGGGAAGTCAATTAAGGTCATGGGAAGACATGGAAGATCTTTTTCTCTTCTCTCTTCTCCTTTTTATGCATATAGGCAGCACTACTAGTTTAGCTATGCTTCTGGATGAGGTAAAGATTTGGCACAAACCAAATATGAAAGCAATTGCATGAAATGGAAGAACCAAGTCCAAATCTTTTGTTTGCAAAACAGCAGCAGACATCTTGACAGAGCCAAATTTGGCCTCTCTTTAGCCAAGATCTACATTCATTTTGCATCTCAGTGTTTCCTAAACCAAGTCACTCATTTACAACATGCTGCTTTGGACAAGCAACAATCACAGATAAACACTGCCACACCAAAACATGAAAGGACAAGCAAAACTGGTTCATGTGAGCAAGAAGTCAATGTATTATATCTTTGTATACTGTCTTGCTCTGGTCAAATTTAGCTTCTATATACACTTTTTTTTTTTTTTTTTGCATCAACGAAATTTTCTTAACTTCCATCTGACCTACCTGATTGATTTCTCTGCGTAATGTTGTATATGAACAAATTGATGCCCATTGGAAAGTTGACGTCCTTTGTGGTTTCATTCTGCTGGCCTTGCAAGTTCTCTTCCCTTAAACGTGAGCTTTTCAAAGTGGACAAGTCCAGACTTTCTTCAGTCATGTTTGCTCTGGTTTTATTATCTTTGTACACAATTTGTGGCTTGTCTGGATCTCCTTGCAAGTCTATAACAAACACAGGTGAAGCAGGAATCACACTCTCAGGAGTATCCGTGTCAAACCTGCTGCTACCTTCCACACCACTGGATTCCCTATGCGGAGTATCCAACCCAGGATGCATGTTCTCTGAGTCGGGCTGACGGGGTAGCTGGAAAAATAAGAAGGAATCTGAATAATGGGGCATACCATCATGGGGTACCCCTTGCACCAAGGAGCTGTCTTTGTCCAAAGAGCTGCCATAGTCATTAAATGTGGTTGTGGTTTCCATCTCCGAAATTGTCTTAGCTTCAGTTGGTACAACAACAATGGCTTTAGCAGAGGGATGCACTTCAGGAGAGCCTCTGTCACGTGGAGCCATGCTCGCAGAGAACATGGATGGTGAATCTTCTGTGGTGCCATGGGCTGGCATGGAAGAGATTGCTTTAAGAGAAGAGATTTGATGGGTGTCTGAGAGAACTGGAGGTGTTGTAGGTCCAGCTGTGGGTACAGTTGTGGGATCCCATCCTGAGAACAGAGAGAAAAGGAAAGATCTAATTTTGACCAAGCCTTTCTCAAATACTTCTTAAGATGAAATGCGTAGCTTTGCTGCCCCTAGTGGCACCAAATGAAATTACAAAAATAAAGGTTTTCAATTGTAAACGGCTTCAGTTGTTCAGCTCGTCTGACCTGTATTCTAGGGTGACCATACGTGCCATTTTCCAAGGACGCGTCCTGGCCAGGATTTCTATATTGCCTAAAATATCTAGGTTTTGGCTTTGTTTGCGTGTGCAGACCGATCGGTGTATGACATCAAAATACCTCGAGAGCATTTT